GAAAAATTTTTTTTTTTTTTTTTTTGTGTTTTTTGGCGTTTGGTAGAAACAGCAAATGTTTTCCATGGTCAAGAGCTGGGCAATAATAGCTTCTCCGCATCCCAAAGTGTCCACTTTTAAATGGTGAAAAACTAATGCCACCACACTATTACCACCGTCGCCATCACCACCACCACGGCCACCGGCTTCTACCTCTACTCCTCCACCACCACCAATACAACCATTAGTACATTAGTTTCAACGATGCAACCAAACATATGAAAACACTTTAGAAAACATTTTCTATGAAAAATATTTTTTGCCTAAACAAACTGAGCGTTAATGTTTAGTATAGTTTCTACCGTTGTGATGCTGCAAATTTTACTCGTATTGACAACAACAACAACAACAAAAAAAATTATATATATTTTTTATAGATAGCACACTACAAAGCTACACCAATCAGCTGGCATGATTATTTTTCCATTACTTGAAGAAATAGAAATGCTTGAAAGTTTACTATTGTGTCTTGATTCAGTACAATTCTTCTTTTGTAGGGAAGGTGCTACCTTGGAGAGCAGGGAGTCCTTTGAATGATAATGTTATGGTAAATGAAATATTCACCATTTTCAAACCGTTTTATTTTATTTTTGTGTTGTCATTAGAGAAATGTTCCATTAAATTCTCTTCAGTTATAAACAATCTTGTCCTTTCTTACCATTTGCACGCTTGTCCTCTTTGGCCTTTTGCTGTTTCTTTTAACATCCTAATATGGATCAAATCATTTGCACATGGCCACAACTAGGGATGGCCACAGGGCAGGGGCTTTTCCCTAATTAAGCTAAAATACCAAGTTATTTCTCAAATTAGGTTTAATTTTGACGGATTTTCCAAAATAAGCTGAAACGTGATTAGAAACCACGCTTTCACTGTTTTTGTAATCTAACCGCATAAAATTTGTAAAATCGTAAATTAAAAAAGCGTAATTACAAATCACGTTTTTAAGAAATTTTGATTTATAAATAAAGCATTGTTTTTAACCACGCTTTTTAAAAATATATATATATATATATATTTTTAAAAAGCGTGGTTAAAAACAATGCTTTATTTATAAATCAAAATTTCTTAAAAACGTGATTTGTAATTACGCTTTTTTAATTTACGATTTTACAAATTTTATGCGGTTAGATTACAAAAATAGTAAAAGCGTGGTTTCTAATCACGTTTCAGCTTATTTTGGAAAATCCGTCAAAATTAAACCTAATTTGAGAAATAACTTGGTATTTTAGCTTAATTAGGGAAAAGCCCCTGCCCTGTGGCCATCCCTAGTTGTGGCCATGTGCAAATGATTTGATCCATATTAGGATGTTAAAAGAAACAGCAAAAGGCCAAAGAGGACAAGCATGGAAATGGTAAGAAAGGACAAGATTGTTTATAACTGAAGAGAATTTAATGGAACATTTCTCTAATGACAACACAAAAATAAAATAAAACGGTTTGAAAATGGTGAATATTTCGTTTACCATAACATTATCATTCAAAGGACTCCATGCTCTTCAAGATAGCACCTTCCCTGCAAAAGAAGAATTGTACTGAATCAAGACACAACAGTAACATTTCAAGCATTTATATTTCTTCAAGTAATGGAAAAATAATCATGCCAGCTGATTGGTGTAGCTTTGTAGTGTGCTATCTATAAAAAATATATATAATTTTTTTTTGGTTGTTGTCAATTCGAGTAAAAAGTGCAGCATCACAACAATAGAAACTATACTAAACATTAACGCTCTATTTGTTTAGGCAAAAAATATTTTCCACAGAAAATGTTTTCTAAAGCGTTTTTGTATGTTTGGTTACATCGTTAAAACTAATGTACTAATGGTTGTATTGGTCGTGGTGGAGGAGTAGAGGTAGAAGCCGGTGGCCGTGGTGGTGGTGATGGCGACGGTGGTAATAGTGTGGTGGCATTAGTTTTTCACCATTTAAAAGTGGACACTTTGGGACACGGAGAAGCTATTATTGCCCAGCTCTTGACTATGGAAAACATTTGTTGTTTCTACCAAACGCCAAAAAATACAAAGAAAAAAAAAACATTTTTCAAAAAATGTTTTACGTCTAAAAAAACAGAGGGTAATAGAAAGTATAAGACATCAACAATAAACTGGAAAACAGAGCATTCACAAATATGAAATGGGATATTAATGTCAAGGAGGCATTACCAAAGGGCTCCACAAGTTTCTTATACATGAAAGCCACAGGGACTCCCCAAAACCACCAAATCAGCAAAAAAATATGTAAAAACCTGTTGGGTAACCATGAAACTAAACACTTCAGCACTTTGTTCAGGGAAACTTGTAAATATTTTAAGCATCAAACTGTTCCCAAGATCACCTTTAATATTGTGAGACCTTTCAAATATGAATCATATGACGATTTCACCTCCTTGCTGTGCAATTCTTGAACTGCAAGTTAGTTAAAGCTGTTAGATTCCATCCATACGATACATCCAAATTGAAAAAACAACAGTGAACTAGCAGGACATACAAATTACAACAAGAAGAAAACTACAGAAAGATAATGCAACTCTGACAAAAAGGCTAATGACTCAGACATGGCATGCAAAGCTTAACCATTTGAAGCATAAATATGTACCACGTCTCTTTTGGTAGCCTCTCTTTAAAGCTAATAAAGAATAATCAACTCAAAATTAAAGAATGGCCAACTTCAAAGACTGCAGCTAATGACAATAAAAATCCTGGCATTTTAGATAAATAAAAGTAAGAATCAACCAATAAGAGCACATGGTAAGGAACCAAGGATTCAAATTTTAAGGCAATATGTTGACAAGCTGAGAAACTCTCGAAAAGCAACTAAACATTTTGATTCTCTCCATACATACTATCTCCTTCAAAGAAAAAACAAAAGAAAACAAAGGAACCAGAGGTGACCAAAAAAATCACAATCAATCCACTTTGCTACCACTGTTTGTTAATACAACACCAGTTGCTCCCATCACATGCTTATCTCTCACCAACTCTCTTTTTTTAATAAAGTATCTCTCTCATCTTAGCAACTCACCTGTTATTTGCAAGCAATCGTCCATCACAGAGCTCTCCCTGTGTCAACATTTTCCATCACTTCTGCCTCTTGCTGCAAGCCACTGTCTTCCTTCTAATATGCTCTCGATTTGCAAAAAACAATCACTGCCTTAAATCATGTTGCTCCACTTACCCTTCATCCTCTCAACAAATAAGGACCTTTATCTGATCACAGTGGGCTCCCACTGAACATTTCATTTGAAAATTGTCCTCTTGCTCGTAGATCCTGATAGACCAGCTTCATACCTTTGCAAAGAGAAACCTGGCTGATAGAGCCCAATCAGAGACCAGCCCCTTCATCAATATTGAACCTCATTCATGAAGGCTATCTCATTGTCACCAATTTCAAACTGGGCCCATTCCTTAAGTAATATGCCCTAAATGATCACCGCAAGAAAATTCCATAATCACTATGGCAACTCCTTTGACCATACCTAGGGCGCAAGGCTCCTGCTTGCAATAGGGTCTGAGAGAGATGGTCCCTTTTTTTTTTTCTTTTTTTTTTTTGGTGGAGAGGCTGATTTCCATGATTCAGATCTGCACTACAAAGTTAGGGGAAAATAGCACAGCTCCCATTCACAAGAAGGTAATAGGTAAGTATTCTGACCCCTACTTTTTAGAGAAGTCGAATTTAGAGACTCAAACCTACACAAGGCTAAAGAAAAATAAAAATCAAACCAAACTAAGTCTTGTGTGACAATCAAGTGGGGTCAGTCACATAAATTCTTTTTCACCATCTTGTTCCGTCAAACGCTATATGCTCAATTAAATAAAATAAAAAATCATATCTTCCTTTATTATAGCATCCCATGTCAATTTAAGTCTTTTCCTCCCCCTCACATTGCCATTTACGGTGATCATATCACCTCTTTTGCATCTACAAGTTTTTGTTGTACATGATCAAACTATTCTCTCAACATATCTTTAATTGGTGCTACTTCTACCATTTCATGAATATGTTCGTCTCTAATTCTATCTTTTTTGGTCTTACCACACACATCCATCTATACATCCTCTTCTGCTTGTGTCTTGCTTAGTGTTTTATCTTTTACATAGGTGGTTCCAACCTTGGATGCAGAGGAGGGTTGTGTGTTGAGTAACCTGATAGTCAACACGGAAAAGTCCCTTTTAGATCCCTTATGAGCATGAATCCTAAAAAACTACAAAGAAATGCTTCCAATAGAGAGCGTGGTAAAAATAACATGCTGAAAAATTTACGTACTTTTTGCAAGGTCCTTCTCCTTAGCTAAGTAGCTTGTGCAAATGTTGAAGTCCTGTGATCAACAAAGCAAAGCAAACCCTTTCAGATCACATGTTCCAAATAATGTGCGTTCTATTTATCATAAAATCATCTCTTTAAACCCCTTCTCTAACAAAAATGAAAAACATCTCTTGCCTGTGTCATTGAGCAGTAATAGAAGTGTGATCAAGACGGTTGCATCACATAATTAGCATTCTATTCAAGAGTTAGATCTCAAAAGAAAAGCAAATGTTTTGAAAATTGCTTCACAGAAAAGAAATTCACATATTCAAGCATGAACTTGTTTATCTAGCAATTATTGTAATAAGAGAAATATTCCCAACCACGTATAATTAGTTTGCTGACAAGAGCACGTTTGGACCTCCTGATGAATCAACAATACTCACAAGAACAAGACAAGACCTAGTATCTATCAAGAACAATCACATCTTCACCTCATATCTCTCCAACTACCATGAGAAATTTTGAAAATGTGATTGTTCATTTCTTTTTCCTTTTCTGAGCTATATACTAAGACGACTAATTAATCATCTTGTCACCTTGTACCTTCATAGTCTAAGCATTGTTGATTGGATGATCCTCGCCTGCATTGTTATGCACACTACTTGCATTGTTATGCACGTTTCACTAGCATTGTCATGCACGTTTCACTAGCATTGTCATGCACGTTTCACTAGCATTGTCATGCACCCGCACTTTGCTTGCGTCGTCACGCACGTTTCACTTGCATTGCTATGCACTTTTCCATTAGCATCATATGTGTCCACGTTTGATATAGCGTTGAACATGTGTTGCTAACTATATTGTACCTGTTAAATTTCTTTCTTTTGCAGACACGATATTGTATGTATAGTTCATTTGAGGCTGATGCGACCAGACGATATTGTATGTACGGTTCATTTGAAGCTGGCGTGACCAGACGCACTAGACGGTATTGTATGTTCTCTGCGTGAGACATAGCAAGAATTGTATAATTCTCTTACATCCTTTCTACATGTGATGTAGTTTGGTTTGAATTCGCTTGCTTAAACTGTTGCATTTATTGTGTATAACTGCTTCATTACAGTTTTCTTTGCATGATCATGCACGCACTTGGGTGGTTGTTTTTGGACCTCCTCTCATGATTTCAACATGGTTTGAGTGTCCCCTTCCTCACACGTTTTTCAGTGTGTTTGAAATTTATCTCAGGTTGCGTCGTGCACACACTTGGGCGGTTGTTTTTGGACATCCTCTCACGATTTCAGCGTGGTTTGAGTGTCCCCTTCCTCACACGTTTTTCAGCGTGTTTGGAATTTATCTCAGGTTGGGTCGTGTACACGCTTGGGCAGTTGTTTTTGGACCTCCTCTCATGGTTTTAGCGTGGTTTGAGTGTCCCTTTTCCTCACACGATTTCAGCGTGTTTAGAATTTATCTCAGGTTACGTCGTGTACGTGCTTGGGCGGTTATTTTTGGACCTCCTCTCATGGTTTCAGCGTGGTTTGAGTGTCCCTTTTCCTCACACGATTTCAGCGTGTTTAGAATTTATCTCAGGTTGCGTCGTGTACGTGCTTGGCGGTTTTTTTTGGACTTCCTACAGTTTCAGCGTGGTTTGAGTGTCCCTTTTCCTGACACGATTTCAGCGTGTTTGGAATTTATCTCAGGTTGCGTCGTGCACGCACTTGGGCGGTTTTTTTTAGACCTCCTCTCACGGTTTCAGCGTGGTTTGAGTGTCCTTTTTCCTCACACGATTTTAGCGTGTTTGGAATTTATCTTAGGTTGCGTCGTGTACGCGCTTGGGCGGTTTGTTTTCGGACCTCCTCTCACGATTTCAGCGTGGTTTGAGTGTCCCCTTCCTCACACATTTTCCAGTGTGTTTGGAATTTGTCTCAGGTTGCGTTGTGTACACGCCTGATTTGTTATTTTTCCTCCCTTCGTGATTCCAGCATGGTTGGAGTTTGTCACCGTCTGCATTTGCTATACTATCTGCATTTCATCGCACTGTTTTGTGCACCTTACTTGCATTGTACATGCATTTTATCGCGCTATTTTGCGCATCGCACTGTTTTATGCACCTTACTTGCATTATGCATGCATTTCATCGCGCTATTTAGCGCATCGCACTGTTTTGTGCACCTTACTTGCATTGTGCATGCATTTTATCGCGCTGTTTAGCGCATTGCACTGTTTTGTGCATTCGCACTTTCTTGTGCACTGTTTTGCGCATTGCACTACTTGGTACACCTTACTTGCATTGGCTTGCATTTTATCGCGCTATCTTGCGCACCTTATTTGCACTTGTTAATGCATTGCATTGTCATGCACCCCTTTCCGCATTGTTATGCGTCACACTTAGGTTGCATTGTAATGCATCCCTTACCGCATTGTTATGCGTCACACTTAGGTTGCATTGTCATGCACCCCTTTCTGCATTGTTATGCGTCACACTTAGGTTGCATTGTCATGCACCCCTTTTCGCACTGTTATGCGTCATACTTGGGTTGTATTGTCATGCACCCCATTGTTATGCACTCTTTACGCGCGTTGTCACGGTCGTCTCGCCTGCATTGTTATGCACACTGCTTGCATTGTTATGCACGTTTCACTAGCATTGTCATGCACCCACACTTTGCTTGCGTCGTCACGCACGTTTCACTTGCATTGCTATGCACTTTTCCATCAGCATCATATGTGTCTACGTTTGATATAGCGTTGAACAGGTGTTACTAACTATATTGTACCTGTTAAGTTTCTTTCTTTTGCAGACACGATATTGTATGTACAGTTCATTTAAGGCTGGTGCGACCAGACGATATTGTATGTAAGGTTCATTTGAAGCTGGCGTGACCAGACGCACCAGACGGTATTGTATGTTCTCCGTGTGAGACGTAGCGAGAATTGTATAATTCTCTTACATTCTTTCTGCATGTGATGTAGTTTGGTTTGAATTCGCTTGCTTAAACTGTTGCATTTATTGTGTATAACTGCTTCATTACAGTTTTCTTTGCATGATCATAAGTTATGTTCGGCTTTGTGCATGTCTTTTGCATCTCGCCCCAGCCTGCGGGCGCATCTCTTTATTATCTTGCCTGTGTGTCTAAGTCTTCGGCCTCGTAAAAAATGGGTCGTCTCTAGGCTTTGACATTCACTCCCTTCATTTATAACTTCTGAGTTCTGTCAAAGAGGGGCAACTGTAGACACCCTATTTTTGACTGATCTTAAGACTCAGACGTCATCAATTGAGCGCTTGGTGATTGTGTATGTCGTGCTCGTTCTGAGGTTTCGGAGTTTTTGGCTGAAAGCCTTGCCTCCGGGCCTCTGAACTCTTTGTGCTTTGGCTCGGTTTGTGGACCAAATCTTGTTTTCTCTTCCCGGAGGGAGGGAGAGGTCTTGTAGACCATCTCTTTGTGGTCGTAGACCACTTTTTGTGGTCGTAGGCCACGTTTCCCGTTTAGAGACTAGTTTCCGATTTTTGGAGCCTTCGGCCGCGCGCCTTGTCTCGGAACCGCTTAACGTTCTCCATTCGGCGTGATTTTTGAACCATGCCTTGTTGCCTCTAACTAGAGGAACACTGTGGTCCGGGAGACCACTTTTGTGGTCGTATACCACTTTTGATGCCAGTAGACTAGTTTTCGAGGCTTTCGGCCGCGTGCTTTGCCTCCCGATCTCTCGTCTTACATCCGTTTTGGTTTTTTTTTGGTACAAACCTTGTTTTCCTTGTTTGGAAGGTGGTACAAGGTTGGGAGATCATTTTTTCCCCTTGGAGACCACTTTTCCTCCTGCCAGCCAGTTTTTTGGTCGGATAACTGGCTTTCTTGGTCTTTGGGCCACCTTTTCTGGTCGGCCACCACACCACTTGCTTGTTTTCAGTGTGTAGACTTCTCCTACCCCTGGCTGACCAGTTTTTGTTATGGGAGACTACTTAAAGTGGTCGCCGACCACTTAAAGTAGCTGGCCGACCAAGTGGTCGGCTGCTTTTTGTCACCTTTTTGGAGATATTTTTGGCCAGCTGGCACAGCTGGAGAGCACTAGAACCATCCTCCATATGTATGGAGGGATGGCCTTGAGCCTTAGCTTCTTTAAGAAGCTTTAGCTTTTGTTCTCTATAAGAGGGAGGCTCATCCTCCCTCCTCCAGGTTAAGAAATTTGTGGTTTGAGATATACATGCACACTTGTATCTATATCTCTCTTTTGCTCTTGTTTTGTGCCTTAAAGTGTCATTTTATCTTACTTTTGCACACAAACACACACTCAAACACCATCCTTTTGTTGCTGAGGTGCTTAGGAGCTGGTTTTGGCGTTCTTGGGTTGCTTTGAGCTTGAAAAACCTGCTGTAGTTGCAGCTTTAAAGGTGGTCTTCAAGGGTGAGTTTCTAACCCTTAAACCCCCCATTTTTGCTTCAGCTTTTAGCCGTATTTGCATGCTGATTTAAGCTTAACTTTCTACTACAAAGAGTTCTGTTTTTGCATGCTTTAAATGTTTGTTTAAGGTCACTTTTCTGTTGGGGGTGATCTACCCTCTCTTAGGCCTTGTTAGGCCTTGTTTTGAGCCATCCCTCTAGGCTCTTGCTGTAGCCTTTGCATGACCTTTCTACCACTGAAATCCAGAGGATTTTCAGCGGTGGAAAGGTGGTTTTGGAGTCCTAAATAGGAGAGGGTCATCCCCTCTCCTTGTATTTTGAATACTTGTTTCATATGCTTCATGTTTGAGTATGTTTGTTAAGCTTGTGTTGGCCTGTTCTTAGCATGTATTTGGGGTTATTTCAGCATTTCATACCACTGTTTTGGTTTGGTTTGGTCACCCCTTGCATGCCTTGTACACTTGTAGTGTAATCGTCAAAAACTAGTCTTGTATGCTTCATGAAGTAGCATGTCATTCTAACTCGATTTGAGTCCATCTCAGCATGTTTTTGGTGGTATTTTGCCATATCATACCTCTGTTAGGGTTTGGTTTGATAGCCCCATGCATGCTCCATGCACTTGTAGTGCAATTCCATGAATTAGCCTAATGTGTCTCATGCTTTGACATGTCATTCTAGCATGCTTTTGGCTTAACTTCAAGAAGCTTTTGTCCATGTTTTAGCATGCTCTAGCAATGATTTTGGTTGTTTTTGCCATGCATGCCATGCTTTGTATAGCTATAGTGCATTCTAGCT